TCGATGGTAACAGACCTGCTCACACGATCTACGAATTTGTCATACAATCAAATCCTGGGTACGCAATTGACGAAACTCCACACAATTTGTTGTATTTACCTGTTGTACCGCAACGAGAAATTACCAATATCACTGTGTTGGCTGTCGATCAAGACGGACGCCCTGTAAACTTTCGAGGAGAACAGAGCACCTTGGTGTTGGAACTTAGATCACGTGGGAAATGGGATTAGTAATAAGACAATCTACTGCCCATAGTACACCATTAGTTGTGCAGCCGTCTGAGCGACAACATCGTACGTCCTCATCTAAGCGGCAACATCTTACGTTTGCAAACAAATTGTTTTTACAATCACTTGGTTTTAAGCTGAAAAAATGACAACCATGTATGGAAAACGATCCCGTTCAAACAGCATAATGCCTCCAATATTTGATATTTATCGTAAGCCGATGTTTGACGAATCGATTCGAAAGGCCGAATACCGAACATATGCACCATTCATCAAATCATTCAACTGTAATGACATTGTAGAATTTAGCATCAATCAAGTTGACTCGTTTTTTGCAATGAGTGAAACCTTGTTATGCATTAAAGGATTGCTCGCAATAAACGGCAATGGTGACGTCAAACTAGCAAATAATGTGGGTGCTTTTCTTTTCGATTCGTGTACGTACAGCGAAAGCGCAAGGGAGATGGAAACAGTGCGGGATCCTGGTATCGTAAGCGCTGTACGTGCTATGACATGTTATACTCAAGAAGATTCCAGTCATATGGCAATGGCGGGGTGGAATTACCCTAAGGATCCAATTCTACATGCTGCCGATCATTCATTCAACATACAGATGCCTCTTAAGCATGTTTTCAACATTTTCAATGATTATCCTATGATTACGTGTGGTCGTCAAACAATAAGACTAGTTCGAGCTCGAAATGACAACGATTGCATAATTGTCAAAGAAAAAACTCCAGGTCATGTTACAACTGTTAAGATTAACATTACCAATATTGAGCTTAGAGTCAAGCACATATTTCCCAATGATGATATTAAATTGGAACTTATGAAATCCATTCAACAAGATCAACCTATAGTTATTCCTTTTAGAAAGTGGGAATTGCATGAATTACCAGCACTTACCAAAGGCGCTAGACGTGAAGTTTGGGCTGTAAAAACTAGCAATGCAGTGGAAAGACCTCGTTATGTCATTGTTTTCTTTCAAACCAATAAACGTGACAAAAGCGACGCCGATCCCACCTTATTTTACAATATCCACATACAAAGTATCAGATTATCTTTAAATGGAGAATATTGGCCGAACGAGAGAATGCAATTGGATTTTAGCAAAACTGACTACAATGAGGCCTATTTCAATTATACCGAATTCTATCCTAGCTACATACATTCTCAACAAAAGCGACCTCTGCTCGATTTCTCAGGTTTCGCTAATCACACATTGTTCGTCATCGATTGTTCGAAGCAAGAAGAAAGCATGAAAGCATCCACTGTTGACGTAAAACTCGATATTGAAGCGAATAATGGTTTTCCCGAAAATACCAAGGCTTATTGCATTATAATTCACGACTGTGTAATGGAGTACTTCCCTCTCTCTGAAATTGTAAAAAGTCTAAATTAGATGCATAAATTGCCAGTAGTACGCGAGCAGTCATCATGAGAGTAGCATTCGTAGACATTCAGGGATTCAATGTGGACGGATGGTTTGTTCCCAAAGAACTTACCATTGAAATAGGTTTTAAACGAAGTCATTACATCTTCTTGCCTCAGAAACCTTTTAATGCGCTCAGTAGTGAGGATAAGAAGACTGCATCATACGTGGAGAAAAAACTGCTTGGAATTCGATACTCTGATGGACACGTAGAATTGTCCAAAATCAATGAAATACTAGAATCCAAGTTGTTGTATGCAGCAGATTACATCTACGTTAGAGGAGAACAAAAAGCAGAATATTTGGATAAGAAACGTCACGTTTTTGGAGTTTTTCCCATTATTATTGATGTTTGCAAGTTTGATGGTACACCTTATGCTACTGGAAACGTTGGCCCTACTGCAAACCCATGTCATGCCTCTGGATTATTTTCATGCACCGAAAGAAATGTGGATCGTCTACGTCACTGGTTTGCCAATAACATAATGCCATTGTAATTTTATGTATAAATAAATATATTAGAAATTAAACGCTTTTTTATTTATCACATCTTTATTGATCGAGTCTTATATTACAAGAAGATTCAAATTTTCTCCTTACAATTTCGAAAATAATTTTTAAAATTAGAATAAATACAGATGCTAATATTACACAAGACATTGCAAAGACATTGTCTATTTCACTTTTCATATGCTCGCTGGTGTTGTTGCTATCGTCCATGGTATTGGTTGAATACGTCTCAATGGATATGAAGCTGGTGGCAGTTTTCTGCAGGCGTAAATCCAGGTGTCTTGCTGTTGCTGCTGCTGTAGATTCAACTCTTTTGGTTTCCACGTTTTTTCCTCAATATGCAGGCTATCTAATTGTCTTTTAATTTGTTTTATATTCTCATATGATTTAATGTCTCTATTTAACTGATCAAGTTTACGTTGAAATTCCATAACCCTATGTATGTACTCGATGGAATTCATAGTACTACTGAATATGTCCTATGTTGAATGTCACGTTTTATGTCAAGCGATGTCTTGACTGACACATAACTGTTACGTCAAAACGTCTCACGTCACGTAATTCCTACATTTCACGTTCTGTGACAAATGTCACATATATGTCACGTCCTGCGTCGAATGTCACGTTATTCACGCAACATTTTCACGTTCTGCGTCGAATGTCACGTCATTTCACGTTCTGCGTCAAATGTCACATAAATTTCATGTCCTGCGTCGAATGTCACATAAATGTCACGTCCTGCGTCGAATGTCACGTCAATTCACGTGTCATTGTACGTTCTATGTCAAATGTCACATAAATGTCACGTCCTGCGTCAAATGTCACGTCCTACGTCGAATGTCACATCATTTCACGTGACATTTCACGTCCTGCGTCGAATGTCACGTTCTGTGACAAATGTCACGTCCTGCGTCGAATGTCACGTGACATGCAACGCTTTGACACCTCATACGTCAAAATCCAACCAATAGCAACGAAGATACGTTTTAACGCCCATTTGGCAACGCCGCCATCTTTGTTTTTTGTCTCCCCACCTTCTCCCCGTTCCAAGGAGCCCTCGTACGCCCCCATCGGACCAATAGAAACGAAGATACCCCATAATGACCTTTTGGCATGCTCCGATGCGCACGGCACATACTGCATTCAACCCCATTTTTCATCCCCTTTCCAACGAGCCCTCGTACGTCATCCTACGTTAAGCCGTTTGGAACTTACGACCGGGGGTTGCGATTTTAGGGGTTGCAATTTAGGGGTTGGTCCAGGATCTGTGTAGACTATCTACTAATCTGGAGAAAGATTACCACATTAACCAAAAACTATTTTACAAAACTCTAAGAAGCCTAAAAACAGAGAACAGATAACAAGCAACAAAACAAATTAAAAACAAAGATGGCCACATCCTCTACGAGAACGAAAGTATTATGAACAGGTGTAGAGAATATTTCGAAAACCTCCTGACTTAAGAAGACTCTTATAATGAAATGGACAACTCTGAAGAAAGCCCACATGAGAACTCAAATCATAACGAAATAACAAAAGAGGAAATAAGAGAAATAACACTCGGGCTCAAAAGAAGAAAGGCATATCTGGTTATGATAAGATAACTGAGAAAAGGGACGTGCAATCCTTAGAAAAGTTTGCAATAAAGCATGAAATGAGAGCAAGATCCCAAAAGACTGGGAAGTGGGCGTTATTCTACCCATCTTTAAGAAAGGTGACAGACGAGACTTCTGCAACTACAGAGGTATAACTCTCCTGAGTATCCCCTCCAAAGTTTACGAACGAGTACTGGAGAAAAGACTACTACAAGAAGTAGACCATAAGCTGGAGCAGTCACAGAGCGATTTCAGGAAAAGAAAAAGCATCCATGACCATATTTTCACACTCAAGCATCTAATATAAAATGCACGAAATACAAGCACGGAACTATACCAAGCCTTCATAGATCTCGAAAAAGCATTTGATAGAACCCCGCGAACTGAAATAGACAAAAGCCTAAGAAACAGAGAAGTAGACAGAAACTCACCCATCCTGTAGTAGTAGCCCAGAAGTAGGCCCCATCCTGTTCAATATTGTACTAGATGATGTAATGAAGGAAACTAGAGAAGAAACATCGAGAATATTTCTTGGACATAGAAACCTGGAAATGATACAGATAGCGGAGTGCGCATTTGTAGTTGACTTCGTCGTATTTGGAATAAACGAGGACGCACTTAAGAGAAACCTCCAAATATGGAGAGATAATCTTGAAAAACGTAATCTGAGAATTAATGAAAGTAAAACCAAGGTCATGGTATTTGGGAAAACAAACCAATATACAAACACTAAAAATCAATATCGATACTTTAGAACAAGTCGAAACCTTCAAATACCAGGGAGTGCAACTAGAGAGTAGGGGTGCACAAGAAGCAGAGAAAAATATTCGAATAGCAAACGCTTCCCGGATATACCACGCAATTAAAAGCACATTCCTATCGAAAAAAGAAGTATCCCAAAAAGCCAAGATAGCTATCTACAACACAGTTTTTGTACCTATCTTAACATTTGAATGTGAAAGCTGGACGCTCACCATCAGACTAAAAAATAAACTGCAAAGTATTGCAATGAAGTTAGAGCACACGGTTAGAGTGATCTCGAAGCATTTCTCTCTATTAGCGTTCGTTACAGTGTCAATTTCTGTGTTATCACTATTTGTTTATCTAGTGTTTTCAGAGTTTTAATTGTTTTCTAAGGACCTTGAGTATTTTGGATTACTTTTGTACTCCCATTTTTATTTGACTTCTTAGATATTACTTTCTTGTTTATTTAATTAACATACATATTATTTTAAGCTTCCATCTGAAGAAGCTTCACTTAAACCAGTAATGGTAGTCTTGGTATCTGTTAATTATCGTCTCGGATTCTTAGGATTTCTACATTTTGACGATACATCTTTGAATGTGTACGGCAATGCAGCACTTAAAGATCAACAGCTGGCTTTGAAATGGGTTCAAAAGAATATTCACAAATTTAACGGTGACCGTAATAACGTAACCATTTTTGGGGAAAGCGCTGGAAGTGCCAGTGTCCACTATCACGTTCTTAGTCCATCGTCCAAAAATCTGTTTCACAAAGCTATTCTACAAAGCGGAAGCACCTTTGGCCCTTTGTCAAGATCGAAAAGCCAGAACGTTGGACTTCAATTAGGCCAAATTGTTGATGAAAATGTTAAAACTGAAAAAGAAGCACTTAAGGTACTGCAGAAATTGACAGGCAAAGAAGTATATGAGACACAACAAAAGTTTATTGCAGTAAGTATTATTATTAAAATTATAATTACACATAGGTTAGAGGATATTTTTATTTTTGGGCGAAGTTTTAATGATGTAATAAACCAAAATACATATTGTGTGGTTATATGATCGGGTAATTCCAGCAATAATCGACACAAGTGGGTGGGGTCAGCCTCTACGATTTGTCTAAAATTTTACACACATGTACTAGACAAAAAAACATGATTGTCAAATTTTCATATCTTAATATTCAAAATGGCGGCCGTGGTGCGCTATTGAAATTTCACGCTTTTTATAAAATTTTTTTCATGTTTCGCCGATTTTTTTAGTACATATAGAGGAACAAATCTTATATGTACAATAATAAAATCCTAGCGCAAAAAATGTATTGATTACAACGCGCAATTCTGCGTTTTATATTGTGTCGCCCCCTATAAAACGGTAAAATCGGTGGTAAATAAATTCAGAATAGTCATTTTTTGTGTAAAATTTTCCGTAGAATTCGAATTCGTTATCAGAAAACCTCTAAAAGTTATTTGGAAGCTGAAAAACGAAGGAAAAGCTCTAAAAAAGCGCAAAAATCGCGTTTTTTTTGGACTTTTATAGGCCGCAGCGGCTTCAAACATAAAAAAAAGATTTCTGAGACAACTTTTATTCGAAAGTACCTGTATTAGGGCGTCTTTTGTGAAAATTTGAAAATAATTAAAGGTGTTTTTGAGATATCAATTTTTCAAAAAAAGCGCTTTGTTTCGCATTTTGTCGCTTTACATAACGTCATATGGCAATTCTGACACCGAGATCGTATTCATCGGGAAATTTTACATTGGAAAACATATAGTGGATATTTGTTTAAGCATATTTAGCTCGCTGTACTAAAAAAATCGGCGAAATACGAAAAAAAAATTGATAAAAAGCGTGAAACTTTAATAGCGCGCCACGGTCGCCATTTTGAATATTAAGGTCTGAAAATTTGACAATCATGTTTTTTTGTCTAGTACAACATGTGTGTAAAAATTCAGCCAAATCGGAGAGGGCGAGTCCACCGACTTGTGTCGATTATTGCTGGAATTATCCGATCATGACATACCTCCACTCTACCTTTTTCGCAAACACCAACGATACGCCCAAATAAAAATAAATATCTATTATTAACAGTAAACCATGAGGTATCAGATGTCGATTTTTACTTCTGTCAATTCATTAAAATCAGTGTCCCGTTTAAGTTTTTTTACATATTTTACACTAACTTTTTGTTCCCAAACTTGTAAATTTTAGAATCTTGACAAAGGCAAGGGTTTCCTGTCAAAACGTTGATTTTAATGGACAATAAAATCAAGTTTCAAATTTAATATTACTTATTGAACCTAAACCCAAGAAATATTAATTTTATATTATATAATAATCATTTATATATATATATATATATATATATATATATATATATATATATATATATCCCGTAACTGTTACCGACAAAAAGTTATCTCGCAGCTGCTATTGACGGGTCACTGTGACCCAGTTTTAAAATTCTGAAATAAAGAAAAAACATTAGCTAATACATTTATTTTAAGTCATAAACACTTTTTTATATAACGGTAAACTAATTTAATGTAAAATAAATTCCTATTTACAATTTGGGCATATTTTTAGAGCACATTGTAAACATATAGGTAATTTGCACACAAAACAGTATGTATTTGTTTTCCGGTCTTTTTTTCTGGGACAAATTGCGCATCCCTTCCTTTTAGATATATTCTATATTGGCAATGGTGCAGGTATGTCATCTATATCTACTCCAAGCATATTCGCTGCGAGACATCGAAGTTTCCGGGGTACATTTACGTTGTAAAGTCTTTTCTTCATATGTGGCGTGTACAGTGCAATGCCTAGTTCTTTTAAAAAAATGTAACGGGATATTTCTTTTCCTCGGGAAAACTGATATATTATTCGGCTGTTTACACCAGACACATTTAAAATACAGTGAAAAATTGCCATAGGCCATCGACGGGTCCTTCGAGAAGTGGAATATGTTGCACATTTTTCGTCCAAAGTATCTACACCTGCTTTGGTTTGGTTATAAAACATAATTATTTCGGGTTTTCCAGTGCTCTGATCAACAGTACTATCGTGATGTATTGATGATATTAAAACAACAGATTTTCCCTTTTTTTGGGACATATGATACCAGAGTATTGTCTGATGTAAATCCGAACTCTGAAGAACTAGCAGGTCTCTTTCTGTCGGCCATAAATTCTGGATGAATCATTTTTTTATTTTTCTTCACTGTACCTACATATGTAATTCCTCGTTTTCTTAACTCGTTGGTTAATTCCATTGATGTGTACCAGTTATCTCCAGTGACATTACGGTTGGAATTTTCAATACATTTTATCATTCGAAGAACAACCTCAGTTGGATGTGAAAATAGCGATTTTTGTTTCTGTTGGAGAATTTTTCCTGTATAGACCTCCGCGTTATACATGTAGTGTGTTTGGGAATCGGCTAAGATCTGCACTTTTATACCGTATTTCGCAGGTTTATTAGGTATGTACATTCTAAATGCACACCTTCCCCTGAATGGTACCAGCATTTCATCTACTGCTACATGAGGACCTGGAACATAGTTCTGTTGGGAGTTTTTTACAAAAGTTTCAAATAGGTTGGACTGGTTGGATATAGCTGCCAATTTATTAGTTTTCACTCTTTCAGATCTTGTAAGATGATTGTCGAATCTTAAACAGCTTAGCAAAAATAAGAATCGTGCAAGTGACATCGAACATCTAAACTAATCTCTCCCTGTACCATCTGTTGCCCATAATGATTTTAAATCTTCATGGTTAGACTTAAATATACCTTGCATAAATAAAAGTCCAATAAAAGCTTCTATCTCAATTTTATCTTTTCTTTCAATTAAAGTTGGGGCAAATTTTGAGAGAGTTTTTACGTCGTTTGAATGTAGCGTAATTTGAGGATACTAAGTCAATTCTTGTGTTGGTATGTTCAACAATAATTTCCAACATGTCATCAGTTAATAATAATTTCCAAGCTTCTTTAGGACATAGTGGTGGATTCTGACGGGTAGAACCTTTCAGTCCTGGTAAAACTCTTATAATGTTATGAGATTTTACTTTGGACCTTTTTGGCGATTGTTTTGCCCATTTTGTAGAATCTTTTCCAGACCAAGCTAATTTTGAAATGTTCAAAGTAGCTGTTTTGTTACTTGAAGCGTTATTCGTGGCATCATCCCTGTCTAAGGTGTTTTCATGCAATAGTTCAACCTCAAATTCACTATCAGAGTCGTGTTCACTGTAAATTTCATTGTCTATTTCATCGCTGTTACTTTCACCTGAATAGTTAAATAATTTGTGTGAAGCTTGCTCCTTATTTTCTACTTCTTGGAGAGTATCTATCGTTTCATCGGCATCTTCCAAATCTTTCCAAAACTCTTCACTGTTTAGAATGTCTTCCATCTCAGACAAAATTAAATGCTTACTTGAAGAAGCCATTTTATCTAAAACAAAAAATGTGTATTAAGCAAATGATATAAATATTTAAATTATTCAAGCCGTTAACATAATATATATATATATATATATATATATATAGTAATAATAATAATAATAATAATAGGTACATACCTTTATAACCAAAAAATATTATGTTACTTAAATACTATAGACGGGTCACCGTGACCTAACTACGTAATTATTTCGAATTTGACACGATCAACTAAACTGCTCACTTTGCCTTGTTATAAAATACTAACTTTCCAGAGAATAGGTGGACAGGCAGCTCCCCTACTATCAAACTTAAATGGGTAGGGCGGTTTAAAACTATTGATGGGTCACGCTGACCCTGTCAGTAGCAGTTACGGGATATAAATGATATACGAAATTTAATATTCACATCCCGTCAAACCAACGCCATTCTATGATTATCTGCTCTTTAGATAGAACTGCTGATGGTGATAAGATGGAATAAAGAACATTTACCTTCATATATCTCTGGTTAATACAAAACCTTTCAGTCATTAACTGTATAGTGCAATCTAGTTTAACTTCAACCAAACTACTACAAAGACTTCCCTGTCCCTCGTCTTCAAAGGGCACTAGATGGCGCGTGATATTTTTCATAAAATATCTAAGAACGCACCGTCTTGTAGAAATAATTTACAACTTTCTACTACAAGCCATAATTTAAGTATAAAATAAGCTTATTTACGTTTTAATTTCTACTTCGGAAATAGTTCTCAAAATGCATAACATTTGAGAACGATTTCCGAAGTGGAAATGGAAACGTCAATAAACGTATTTTAATCTGTAATTGTGGCTTATATTTTAAACTAAAATTTGATGTTATTCCCAATTAAAATAGTGATTTATTTAAGATGCCACAAGAAAATAGCTTCATAACTGATTTCTATATCGTTTAAAGCTTTCCATACCTCTTCAGGAATATCATCTGGCTTAACAGCTTTACTTTTCTTAATTTTTTGAAATGCTTGAACGATTTCCTTGTTTGGTATTTTGGTGACTATTCTTCAGTGAGTAAACTGTCAAATTAGTTTGTCCATCAGTTTTTGGCATCCTGTTCGTAAACTAGTTTTTTATTATTTTTATCTTCGACACATCTAATGTTTATGTTTGATTAATGATAAGTTATTTGATGTGTCATGATTTATTAAAACTAGAGCTAGATTATACTCTTGTTATAACCTTTTTTGAGGGTGTCTTGGAAACCGTTGAATCAACTCTTCTAGACGAACCATTAAAAATAGTATTATCGTACTGCCAAAATTTTATTATTCACATGCTAATTAGGAATGAGAAAAACCTACCGGTTTTAACCGAAAACCGGTTTTTTGCTTCGCAATAACCGATTTTATTGGTTGTTTTTTTGTCCCGGTTATAACCGGTTTTTATTTTTAAAGTAAAACCGGTTATTAGGTTTTTACGGTAATTAGGATTAGATTAGGTATTATTTTGAATCCCAATCATAATTATTATTCCCAAGTAATTATTCCAAACAAAACCATTTTATTTTATAAATACAGAAGCAAACTAAAAGTGCAAACTCACATCAGCCAGAAACAATTAAGTTTTATTATATTATTTCGTTGAAAAGGTATTTGTATTTAAAATATTTGCGAATATTATCGAGTCGAATAAAGTATCGCAAACTAAAGTGCATTGTAAGTGTAACTTTGTAACCTATTGAATTAAAAAAACCGAAAACCGGTTTTTATAAAAACCGATTTTTTTTGGCCGGTTATAACCGCCAGGTTAACCCGTAAGCAAAAAACCGGTATAACCGAAAACCGGTGTTTTGTCAAAAACCGCCATCCCTAATGCTAATTTCTGATATTGAAAATTTTAACGCAGCATACGGTACGGGAAATATTTGTAAAATATAACATATCAAAGAATGTCTGACAGTCAGAGAAAAATCCAGGACCTATTTTCGTGGGGGAGATGAACTTTTTTCGGTGGGGATACCGGAGGGTGTGGGGGAATTTTTTTTAATTAGGGTTAAAATGGAGAAATTTAATTTAAATATAAAGCTCCATGAAGTCCAAGTGCAAAGAAATAAATGAAATTTAGTTTATGAAATTAAAATAGCATAAATAAAAGGCGACTAATATCGGCTCAGTAAGTTTATTTATCTAGTACACAAATTATTCTTGTACACTAAACCTCATAAACAAATTTGAGGCGTCTGGCTCACTGATGTGTGAATCGTTCGATAACTTTTTTAGTGTCTACCTCAATGCCCCGGTGAACATGAAGGAGGCAAAGACCCGTGTGTCGGATTTTCCCATCCTTGCCATCAGCCAAATCTTTACTCTTTTTGACTGAGAGAAGGACCTCTCTTCTGTAACAACACTGACTAAAAAATAATAAAATTTAAATTGAAAATCTGTAATATTCTTCTGAGCCACCTGGATGATTGGTTCTCTTAGTTCGTCTACCCACAAATCTAGGTAACTTAACTTTAACGTCCAATTCATCTGCTAATTCTTTAACTTCAGTAAACATCTTACTAAATTTTTTTCGCAATTAGATCGTTACTCTTCTTCTTCATAGCCTTCTGTAGTGCCTGTTTGGACATAGGCCTCTCCCAACTCCTTCCATCGGTCTCTATCATGAGCAAAATATTGCTAATTTCTTCCGGTTATTCTTTTAATGTCATCAACTCATCTCATTTGTGGTCTCCCTCTTGGTCGTTTACTTTCGTAAGGTCTCCAATGCTGTATTGTAGTATTCAAACGTTGGTCTTTCTGTCTAGCAGTGTGGCCCGCGAAGCTCCATTTAAGTTTGTCAATTTTTGTTGTTATGTCCTCGACTTTTGTTTTGGATCTTACCCAGTCGTTCCTCTTTTTATCTGACAGTCGTATACCTAACATTGCTCTTTCCATTGTTCTTCTGTTGTGGCTAGTTTATTCATGTTTGCCTTGGTTAGGGTCCAGGTTTGACATCCATATGTCATGATAGGAAAGATGCATTGGTTGAACACTTTACTCCTCAAGTATTGGGGTATTTTGCGATTTTTAAGTATCCAACTAAGTTTTTCAAATCCTGCCCATACTAGTCTTGCTCTTCTAGTAATTTCCACACTTTGGTTCTCTTTGTCAAGTCTCAGGATTTGGCCTAGGTAAATAATATATTTCTGGATTTGTTTTATCTCAGTCCCGTTTATAGTTATATGTCTGGGGTCATCTGTGTTTGTCATTATTTTTGTTTTTTTTTTCATATTCATTTTTAGGCCGACTGCTGGCCGATTGAGAGCTGGCTGCTAGTTCCCCAAACATAATTTGCAGTCCCTCAAATGTGCTCGCTATAATCACTATGTCGTCAGCGAATCTGAGGTGGTTTAACTTGTTGCCATTAACGTTAATGCCATAGGTTGACCAATTTGTAGTTTTGAAGACATCTTCTAGAAGCTTTGGCGATATTACGTCTCCTTGTCTCACTTCTCTCTTAATGGGGTGGGATTTGTATTTTCGTCTAGTTGTACTATCATAGTTGCATTTTCATATATATTATGTATTAGTTGCCTATATCTCGAATATATTCTACAATTATTAATAGCTTGTTCTATGGCCCACATCTCGATACTATCAAACGCCTTTTCATAGTCCACGAAGGCAAGAAATACGAGTAGTTGGTATTCATTTGCCATCTCTATCAATGTTCTCATTGTCAGCAGATGGTCTGATGTACTATATCCTTTGCGGAAGCCAGCCTGTTCAACCGGTTGATAATTATCCATTTTGTAGGTTAACCGGTTATTAATAATTCTCATAAATAGTTTGTATACTTGACTGAGCAACGATATAGGTCTATAATTCTGTAGATCACATTTGTCCCCTTTTTTGTGTAAGAGTATTACTAGACTCTCATTCCAGTCTTTAGGGATCTGGCTATTATGGAGACATCTATTAAATAGCTCTGTTACTACAGGGGTTGTTAATGTCTTGCTTGTTTTCAAGAGCTCGGCAAGTATACCGTCGTGTCCTGGAGCTTTATTATTTTTTAGTTCTTTTATCCCTTTATTTAGTATCCCTTTATATTTGGTCGTACTTCTGATCTCACGTTTTTTTTTGACCATTTCCTTTGTTGTTTCATCAGGCTTGCCTTGCGAGCTATACAAGGATGTATAGAAGTCTTCGACAATATTTGTTATTTTATATTTGTCTTTCTCTACCTTATTGTCGGCGTCTTTAATTTTGATGATTTTTTGAACTCCCAGATAGGGTCTTAGACATTTTAAGCCTCTGTTGTTTTTAATGACTCGCTCTGTTAAGTTCTCGTTCCATTTTTGTATGTCGCGTTTTAGTTCTTTTTATTTTCAGCAATTAGATCCATTAACTTTTAAAGTCGACATAGTATTGGAAACAGCCTTAGTCAAACCAAAGTCAACAGCCAAAGTTAGCATCAAGAGATTTTGTTTATAGAAGTCGGCTTAGTGACAATGTTAATTTTAGTATGTCAATCAGTGACATTATTGACACTAGAAATTTAAATGTGCTTAAACAAATAAGCAAATTTGATGCAAGTGTAGCAGTCTTGGGATCCTTCTATGTTGAGATAGATGTTAGTGCTTTAATTATATGTAAAATGCCAGATCTGAACTGGATTACGCTTTCATAGCGCTTAACCCCCCCTTTGTTTCGCAGAAACTTTGTAAACTTGGAAACTTAGAAAAAAATGATATTACTGATTTCATTGTTTCCACTGTATTTCTGATTGACGATCCAGTAATAGAAGTTGAAAGTAAGTTGTTTAAAATATATTTCAGGCCAGGACATCTAAATGCATTTATTGCGATCTTTTTATTTCTATTACTTCATCGACTGCTTCACAGCCCATTACGCTATAACTGTCACTATCGATTCCTACACATTTCTGCGGATCCAACTGCAGTCTTAACAATTTCGTTCATCCCCTCGTTCTTAATTGTCATTAATTATTTTTATGTTTTAATATTGGTATTGTGTATGTGTGTATCGCAAATTTAGAAAAAGCTGTTCCCGTGGGATACGTTGGTCATTTCGTCAAATATGACAAAGTAATAATTAGCACTTTGAATCTGTTTTATTATTCCTTCACCACAACGTGTTAATAAAGAGTCTTATCTCCTGATGTGATTTTAAACCTTAACAATACCCTTAAATTCCCTTCATTAGTAGGAGGGAAGGGAGATCAAAGATGGAAGGGGGACGGCAGACGGAGACGTTCAGTCTGTTGCTTTTTTTCAACATAAACGTAGCTATGGTTACCTTTAACTTATTTAGCACAACCTCTACTACCCTCAAAACTAAAAACATTTTTCTGGTGGCAAGCGGAATATTTGTTTGAAATTATAAAAACATTTGAACTACAAATATTGAAATGCATATTATTCTGTTTTCTCGAAGAAGGCGATGGATCCGCCCTTGCTGACACTTTATTCCTGTTTGGCATTCTTCTAAAAGGAGGTTAAATAATTAAAAAATTGTATTTCTTAATCATATAACTAGACAATAATATATCTGTTTTTAATTTGTATAGAAATATGGAAGACAACTAAACATAGGTCCAAAAATTGAAAAGCCCAACGACTCAGCTATTATCACTGCTCTCCCTCAAGATCTAGTGGTTAAGGGTCACTATAACAAAGTTCCATTATTGTTCGGTTTTAATAGCATGGAAGGAATATTATTTGGAATATATCAACAAAAGGAACTTAAAAAGGGACTGAAACCAGATTATTTTAACATCGACAGGTATGTTCACCCACATATGGAAATAGGGCTTAATGATCCAAAGAGGGAGTTGATTAAAGAAAAAATCAGGAAGTTTTATTTTACTGAAAATACAGTTGAAACCGCAAATTATTTGGTAAGTATATATGAATCAGATTAATTAAATATATTCATTTGAGAGTCCAATTTTATCTTTTACAATTTGATTTATAAGAAATACAAGTAGTAAGACAATTTTTAGTGTGGAAACCACTTATGGAATAAAATTGTTTGTGCCCTTATTATAGAAAATAGTAAAAAACTCTGTGATACGTTAACTTTTAAATTTAAATGTGTGGTTCTTAAAAATAAATTTAAATATACTGGGTGATCCACGTAAGTTTGGCATAGTCCATAATCTGTATTTTAAATTAAACACTCTGTATATTTTTATGTTTTAAGAGCTTAAGTTTAGAGTATTAGGGATGGAAAAAACCTACCGGTTTTAACCGAAAACCGGTTTTTTACTTCAAAATAACCGGTTTTATCGGTTGTTTTTTTGTCCTGGTTATAACCGGTTTTTTATTTTTAAAGTAAAATCCGGTTATTAGGTTTTTACAGTGATACGGATTAGGTTATGTATTATTTTGGATCCCACCCAATCATAATTATTATTCTCAAGTAATTATTCCAAACAAAACTAAAATTCAATTTTTATTTTATTTTATAAATACAGAAGCAAACTGAAAGTGCAAGCTCACATCAGCCAGAAACAATTAAATTTTATTATAGTATTTCATTGAAAAGTATTTGTAATTATAATATTTTTACATAAGAACTGATCTGGTATTTATACATCATCTATTTTTCACACTTGCTTCTTGACATTGAAAGTGGGTGAATGGCTTTTTCTGATTACCAAAAATAATGACTATGAATATCGAATTACCGATTACGAATACGAATCTTCAAGGATTTCCCTACGTTTTCAAAACGATTTATACCCATACCGGAAGTCGTAAATAAGTTAAAAGTAATACATGATATTTTTTTGATGGTAGTAAAAATAAAAGATGAATTGTCCATCCAATTGAATTGAAATCCAATTTATTTTTAAGTAAAATATTTATGTTGATATTATTTTCTTTAAATCCCATTTGAAAGAGTCTGGGAAATTTTTGTTGGGGAATTTTATTCTCAAAAAATTGTGTTATATTTACATTTGTTTGTTGTTTGTTTGTGTTTAAATGAGTGCGGACACTAAATCCATTTGCCAATCTTACAATTTGAGGTGTAGTGTGTGTGTGTGTGTGTGTGTGTGTGTGTGTGTGTGTGTGTGTGTGTGTGTGTGTAGAGTAATTGTCTTGATACTTAGCAAAGTCGACGTCATTGTCTTTGCTAAGAGACGCTAATTGTATCCGAACGTCTGCGGTCCCTCCGGTGTGTACCGATCACACAAGGATAGAAATTATTTTCATTTATTAATTTTTTTAATAAACGAAAATTTCCACCCAGGTGGGATTCGAACTCACGACCTTTAGGTTTAAAGGCAGGCGCTCTTAGCACTGAGCCACAGAGGGGGTGTATGTATTTACATTGATATTGATGTTCTTTCGATAGTACTAATTTTGGTCATATTGATATCAAGTCAAATGTAGTATCGCAAACTAAAGTGCATTGTAAATGTAACTTTCTAATCTATTGGATTAAAAAAACCGAAAACCGGTTTTTGGAAAAACCGGTTTTTGGAAAAGCCGGTTTTTTTGGCCGGTTATAACTGCCAGGTTAAACCGTAAGCAAAAAAAAACCGTTATAACCGAAAACCGGTGTTTTGTCAAAAACCGCCATCCCTATTATGTAGGGTCTATTATGAATAATACAAGGTGAAATTTTGAAATTAAGTGTAATTTTCTTCAAGACAATTAATTCATAGAATACCCGAGGTAATTGATTGGATTACATTAAATTAAATGCTCAAAATGTTCTCCACCTTGTTGTTGGCAATAACACAGTCTCCTATAAAACTCGTCCCGAACTTTGTTTAAAGTTTGGGATGAAATATTCCGTATTTCTTTAGTTATCCTTTCTCTGAGGTCTTCAATGCTAGTTGGTTGTGTTGCATATACTTTGTTCTTGAGATAACCCCACAGAAACAAATCCAAAGGAGTAAGATCTGGTGACCTAGCTGGCTACTCAATAGTACCCTTCATCCTCCAATCCATTTATTGAAGATTATTTCATTCAAGTAATTTCTCACCAATAAAGCATAATTTTGTGTTGTACCGTCCTGCTGGAACCAAACAGTTTCATGCAGTGGGGTCAGATCTATTGGATTGGAATATAAATTAGCCAACTGAGGAAGAACATCGTATCTGACTATGCTTAAATATTTTTCCGCTTTCAAATTACCATCTACAAATATAGGACCAATACTATGATCTCCTATAATATCTGACCAAACATTCAACTTTTGAGGATACTGAGTGTGTGTCTCTTTCATCAAATGAGGATTCTCCGCTGACCAATATCTACAGTTTTGTCGGTTAACCTCTCCGTTCAATGTAAATGTTGATTCGTTAGAAAAAAGAATTGTGCCAAGAGCTATTTCATTTGAGTAAATTTCGTCGATCATTCTTTCGCAGAAATCCATTCTTCCATCTGGATCGTCTTTTGTTATCTCTTGCACAAAAGTAAATTTAGATGGATGAAGTTTTTCTTATAGATAGTTGTTGGACTCACATTATTTTGACGTGCAATTTGACGTGAACTTGACGTTGGATTCTCTGCGATACTTTACAAAATATCTGCGGCGAAATAAAAAACTTGCATACGGTAGTTGACCTCTTTATCTTTAAAACACATTTTGGTTTTTCGATGGGACACTCTGATCAGAATATATCAATTTTTTACAGTCGGGTTGATATAAATTTTATTTAATATTGATGTCGTGCGCGTACCTGACATTGAAAATCACCGGTCGCTTCAAGCCTTGTTTCTAGGGCGAGCGCCCACCAAAGTGGCGTGGCAGTGGCAAGTAGCAAGTAGCACGCGTCTAGCATAATGTAACCAATCCTAACGAATGATTAGAATGAATGACGTTACTGTCATTTTGGTGTAAACTGAATCATTCGTTTTCATTGGTTACATTATGCTAGACGCGTGCTACTTGCTACTTGCCACTGCCACGCCACTTTGATGGGCGCTCGCCCTAAGAGAACAGTTTATTCTACAGAAAAAGTGCTAATAAACATTTTTGTTTCAAATTATTTCAGTTACATTTTTTATTTAAAATATTTTTATGGCGTACAGATTCTTGGTAGATGATTTTAAGGAGAAGCCAGGGGATAAAAATGATAAACTTTTATGCATCTTTTTAAGGGTTCAAAAATTAACATTCTCAGCACAACTCAGCTTGTTCGTATGACATTTAGAAGTTCAGTGTATTTAACATGCACAGAATAGTAGCGTGGGGCTAAATAAGTCCAAATTTTATTTTGTTCGTTAGTAACTGGCATGAAATAAATAAGAAATAATTCAATAAATGATTATTAAATCAATATAAGTAATAGTAAGTAATATCAATATATATATATATATATATATATATATATATATATATATATATATATATATATATATATATATATATATATTATCATTTGAATAAAATGAAAATTATCTAATATATCCTTTTACGACATACAATAAACCCAGAAGGGAAGTATTTGAATCTACTTTACACAAATAAGCCCATGTTGAAAGTTGTACGCAATGCTAACGCCTGCAATGTGTCTTAAATACATAACGGCGAGCTTTGTGAATCTGACTTAAGCAATATTTAATGCCATAAATTAAAATACCAGAAGCATGCTAAGAAATGCTAATAAAGAATTTGGCCATACGGTTCACACTCCCTTGTGTCCCTGGTGGGACTCTTTCCGTGTTATCGAGCCCTAGGTCACTTGATCTGCTGGAGTATCTCCCAAAAATTTTCGTACACATCTGGACGTTGAGAGTAGTACAGCTTTCTGCATGGTCTTGTGGAGATGTTCATTCAGACCTAGCTTTTTATGTTTTCTAGGAGGTTCTTTGGAATGACTTCAGCAGTAAAGAGAATAATAGGTATTGTCTGGGTACTTTCCATTCTCCACTGTCTTCGTATTTGAATTTCCAGATTCTTGTACTTGGCGATTTTTTCGTTCTGTTTAACACGAAGATTATTGTTGTTAAGTATTGTTTGTCTCTTTAGTTTATTAACTAGTATGAGATGTGGTCTATTATGTGGTCTATTATTACCACTGTTTGGTCTGTGAGCACCGTGCGATCCCAGTAAAGCTTGTTGTTGTCATTCTCCAGTATACTCTCAGAAACGTTTTGATAATATGGAAGATGGTTTGTTTAAAGAAGTCCCAGTTTAAAAGTTATCTCTTAATGAAGGATCTTTCCTTTTGAGTCGTGCCGTTCCTTATATTCAGTTGCAACAAATGCCTGACAGCTCCCGGAAAGATGTTAGATGGTTTCCTGAGCTTGGCATCCATATCGGCATTTGTAATTTTGGACCTGAGGGTCTTTAACGATATATTTCAGGTAAATTTTAGTTGGTATAACCTGATCCTGAACCTTCTGTTTCAACGTCAACGTAACATCTTTCCTGATGTTAGCTAATAGTTCGACGCTATATAGTCGACATGGTCTTGACTGACCTCATTGGGATGTCGCCCGTGCAGTGGTTTGCTCATCCAGGTGCGCATTTTGTCGTCTTTAGTAAGATGGTTTATGCGCATTTCTGGTTCCCTCAGGTTGATTGATATTGTGTCATCTACTGCACAAATCGCGCGATGAAGAGTAGATATCTCCACCTGCACCTGAAAATAAGTTCTTAAATTAGTAATCTGTTGTTCTAATTTCTCGCTTATATGTTCAAGCTTCCCCACAGTATTGTTATTTTTGATACCAAAACCTAAGTTAGTGGAGTTCAGTAGCTGAGATAGCGGGTTCATCGCTAAACAGAACCAGAGAGGACTCAACGAGTCCCCCTAGAAAAGGCCCCAGTTGATTGCAATATTTTCATTTTCGATATTGTTTTCACTAGGTATTTGGAGGTGAATTTTTGTCTTCCAATCTGACACTATATGTTATAAAAAGGTCACTATGTTATCATCGACTTTATATGTTTTTATTATATCTATAAAACATTCATGCGGCACTGAATCAAACGCTTTCTGGTACTCTATGAAAGCAGTAAAAAGATTTCGTTTTTTGCTATACGCTTGGTTAGAAATGACAGAGTCGATGATAAGTTGTTCGTTGCAGCCCATGGAACCCTTAGCGCATCCTTTCTGTTAAGGCTCAATGATATTGTCTAGAGCACAGTGTTGGTTGATACGACGGGCTACACAGGATGTGACCAATTTATACAGAGTTGGAAGACAAGTAAATGGACGGTACTTGGTTGGATCTTGGGTGTTGTTTTGATCTTTGGGAATTGTATAAGTTGTTCCCTGGGTTGAGAAAGATGGTATTTCCTGCGGATTAGAAATAGTGTGATTAATTATTGCTGATTAGCTCTTATGAATACTCCAGAACTTCTTAAGCCAGAACTTCTGAACGCCATCTGGTCCAGGAGATTTCCAGTTATACAGCTCTTTGATAATATTCAAAACTTCTTTAGTAGTAAAGGGTTCGTAGGGAGCAGTAACGTAATGTTGACAGTTGTGCGTCGAATCTTCGATCCATTCAGCATTTGTGTTAAGGGCAGCTGGTGTGGAAAGTTGATTTTCCCAAAACTCGTGGATTTCTTCTCGGCTTGGGTAAGATTTATTGCACTTTCTGCAGTCGAATTGAGTTTCCGATAGAACGCCTTCTCGGCATTTTCAAAAAGCATATTGTCGGATTTGCGTTTGTTGCTAATTTTGTATCTCCTTAGTTGGCCTGAGTAAACGGGAAGTTTTGTTTTAATGTATCCAGGCACTGTTGTGCTGTGTTGTTTTCTGGATTATATTGTGAGTGTCTTGCCGTGGTTAGCATTATTTCTTCAGCTCTTCTGATTACTTTTCTACTTTTTTCTTTATTATTTTTTTAATATTAATATTAGTATTACTTATAAAAAAAATATTATTTTTATATAGGTAAAAAGAAATAAAATAAGACTTACTCACAATTAATTTAATTATACCACCAACCAGATACCTTTAGACCTGAAGATGCGTAGCAAATTGTAGTATACGAAACCGGTCGTTGGTGGTATAATTGAATTGATTGTAAGTCTTATTTTTTGCTTTTTACCTATTTGAAATGGACTCAAACAGGCAACACATTCATGATATTATTTTTATATTTATTTAGATAAAATTGACTGTAAAATTAAGTAGATTTTGAAAAAAAAAAAATTTATTTTCTGTAGCCTTTAACAATTGTAACAAAAGAACTTTTTATCAAAATTTTTTCGCTAAAACTGAAAAAGTTTTTCAATGGATCATACCTTTAAATCAATTAAATTGCATCAAGAAGTGTTATCTGCTTTATTTTTTTTAACCTCCGTCTAAAATGATTTATTATTATTTTTTTTTTAGATGGTTACCGATTGTAATTATATAGCCCCCGTAGTTGGAATTGCAAAGCTTCACGCAAAGACCCAACCCGAACCTGTTTATTTATATAGAATGAGTCTGGACGCTGGACTAAATTTCCTTAAACGTTCCAACAGTGGTTTTGATCATATTCCAGGTAACAAAATACATTGATATATATTTTTTCGCCTTTTATCTTTGACCGTACAACGAAATAATGCAAATGCAAAGTTGTTTGTTGATAGTTATAGAATGTTATATTAAAAACACGAAAAAAAGAAACAGTTTTCACAGAAAACAACGACGTGTACGAAGATACACCAAGCATACATATAGTGACAGCTGTCGCGTAGTGGCTGTGTTACTGGCTTTACAAGCTGGAAAGTACGGGTTCCATAACGACGACACCTAAAGCCTTCGAACTAGGGTACGTTAGTGGTCGTTAAGTCAGGTTGCATCGCTTGTGTGATCTGAAAACCCTATCGATAGACTTAAGATACATACCAGACTTACAAATCGAAATAAAATATATTGAACAACGGAAACGAAAGAAAACGAAAGAAAACGACGGAAAAGAAGTACTGCCTAACAGTCGTAATGCATAAAGAAAATACAATCCAAAGTACGAAAGAGCTCCTAAGTCAAACAACACAGCTCATCGAAAAATATGACTTCAATTGCATAAGTAGAAAAAAAAATAAAAAAAGATTCATCGATTAGCCCGAAAAGACACAATAGAAAACAATACAAGAAAGATAAGAAAAATTAATCAAGAAAACAAAAGTTTAAAAGTTTTGATGTGAAGTACGAACAACATCGGCAGCAAAAATATTTACATAACAGGAAAAAAATGGAAATACTACTACGGATAGAACCGATATTCTCGACATTGTCAAATACTTTTATAAAGAAATGGGGCTCTTTATAAGGGGCTCAATAAAAAACAAGAGTAGGCATAGCCACAAGTTAAAACGACACTTTTAGAAGTAAAAAATAACAAATCTCCTGACATGGATGGAGTAGTCATCAAGGCGATTAAACTAGATAAAAATAAAATCATCCAGGCTTTGGCCAAACTTTTCACAGGATGCTTCTAGTGAGAAAAAACACTTTCTCAATAAAACCATGCAGGTACGGTCCAAGCATGCACTATCAGGTAATATGGCACATACATATACTTTTCACAAAAATTATCAAAAAAAAGACTGCAGGCTAAGTTAGACTTCTATCACCAAAAATAACAAGCTGGAATTAGATCGGTAAAGTGACGCCCATTTACAAGTGATAAAAAACCTGGTAGAGAAGCCTGCATAATACAACAAATCATTGGTACTGATATTCGTGAACTACGATAATGCATCCGATACTATAAACCAGCACAAAATTCTAACTGCATTGTTGGAAGCAGCTTGCAATCAGACCCCACGTATATGAAATTAGTAAACAATTTCAGATTCTAGAGGAGCTGCTTCAATGAAAAATGGTTATTAGATATGTACTTAAGAAACGAGCGTGGCTGCTTTCGATAAGGCTTAAATCTCGTTCAGTAAGTATGTACAAAAGAGATAAGCTATTTTAACTAATTTCTAAATAAAATTTTAAACTAGGATATTAAATCTGCATAAAGTTCCGCGCACTAGTACAGTCTGATCTTTTCTCTCTTCAGGTCGTTACCGGGAATATTATATGAGCTCATAAGGCATACGCCCTTACTTTATATGTTGGGTTCATGGAAATCACTTGCCTAAATATATGCCGCAATATATTATTATAATTTCACGAAGAACCACTTAAAATTCAAATGTACAATTCACGAGTAGGGAGTGTTATTGGTGCCAGTGGAACGAGATTACTTTTAAACTTATCAATTCGACATACAAGTAAGTACTTGTAATAAACTGAAAGATCTAAAACACCTAGAAAGCTTGTGTCTTCTCACAGAAACGTTTATCGACTGTCTTCCATGACGACCATTTTTCGAGTATGTTTTGATGTGTTTTACGTGACTTGGAGAAAGAACTTGGCTACTGCCTGAGATCAGCTGGTATTAGACTTTCTTAGTCTATTGTACCCAATCTCATGAATAAAGGTTCCGAACTAATGCCAGAAATAAAGATAGATGAGATTCGACAAGCGTTAAGAGAACTGAAAAATTACAAAGCCCCAGGAGAGGATGGAATTGTAATAGAAGCTATTATAAATGATGAAGATATGCTATTAAATAAATTAAAGAAACTGTTTAATCTGTATGTGCAGTAAAGAGAGGTGCCCAAAGATTGGAACAATGCTATAACCATTTTTTTGCATAAAACTGGAGATAGAAAGGACCTAGAAAGTTATAGACCTATTAGCCTGTTGAACCACATATAAAAGCTCTTCACTAGGTTATTAACATGAAGATTGGAGAAAAAATTAGATTTCTACCAACTGAGAGGGTATACAGGATTCCGATCAAATTATGGCACTAATGATAACCTTCATACAGTTAAAACACTCATTGAAAAATCTATAGAATACAACCAACCTCTTGTCCTCACTTTAATAGATTTCCATAAAGCGTTCGACGCGATAGAAATAGACAGCCTTATAGAAGTAATGAATGACAGAAGGATTAACCATAAGTATAGTGCACTTACTTACAATATTTACAAAAATGCCGCTATGACTGTTAAGACACACGATTAAACCAGACCAATACCAATACGATAAAACCAATAAAAATAAAATGTGGAATAAGGTACTTTGACACCGAAATTATTCATAACGTCATTAGAGTATGCCTTTATGATAATTAATTGGCACGACAGAGGAGTAGCAATAGACGGCAAAAAGCTTAACCATCTCGGAATTGCAGATGAAATTGTCCTTATCACAGATAATTTAGGAGAAGCCACAAATATGTTAATTGCATTGGACTTTGCATGTTCGAAGGTGGGCCTCAGAATAAACTTGACCAAAACTAAGTTTATAACAAATATGGTACCCAATAACCATTTAACTATTTAAAAAAAGTGGTACAATTGGTGGAGAAATATTCGTATTTGGGTCATGAAATAAGAAACACCAGGGATAACCAAACATAGGAAGTCCAAAGACGAATTGCTTTAGCGTGGTCAGCCTTTTGAAAACTGCGAGACACACTTAGGGCTAACATACAATTAGCCCCGAAAGAAAAGTATTTGACCAATGCGTATTACCAGTTATGACCTATGAGGCGGAAACTATGAGTTTAACCAATACTACGGCTTTAAAATTAAGAGTGGCACAGAAACGATGGAATGGTCTATGCTAGGAGTACCGTTGCGGTACCGAATAAGAAAAGAAGATCTGTGAAGAAGGATGAGTATTGCTGATGTTGTGGAACGCATAGCGTAACTAAAACGGAACTAGGCAGGTCATGTAGCGAGAATGCATGACTCATAATGGACAAAATCGCAAAGAATGGATGAGTATAAGAGAGGCCTATGTCTAGCAATGGACGTGATAAATAAAGGATGTATGAACATGATGATGATGAGTTTTAGTCATTGCTATTATCTGTGTTATTTCTATTCTGAATCTAATTTGCCCGTGATGACAGTTCCGAAATATATAATTTTGTGAACTTTTTTAAGTTTGACTGTATTTAATTCAAGCTATACATTTGGATCTGGGTTACGACTAAAACCTGAAAATTTGGTTTTGGTTGAGTTTATTTTAATGACCATTTTCTCTTTTACTGTCCTAATAAGATCAAGAAAAATATGAAGACCTGTCAATTAAACAAACACATTACCAGAAATTAACTCTAATAAATTCTAGTATTATTGGGTGTTTTTTTTTTCTAAGTCTATGGTACATTTTTCTAAAAACTTTATGTTATTTTCGTACTTCTAGGTGTTTGCCATGCTGATGATCTAGGATATTTGTTCCAAATGCCGTTAGAGTCTCTCAATATGCACAGGGGAGAGAAAGAAATAAAAGCAATCAGAAGATTTGTTAAACTATGGACTAATTTTGCAAAACATGGCAACCCAACTCCTAAAGGAAACGATTTTAACCTAACGTGGAATCCAGTTAATGAAGAAGAAGTTAGTTACTTGGATATTGGAGAAGAATTAACGATAAAAAGCAATCCCGAGCCCGAGAGGTTGAAATTGTGGAAGGAAATATTTCAGCTTAGCACATATACGCAATATTATTTGCAGTAATATCTAGGTTGATAAAAATGTTAATTTGTGTGTAAATATTTAAAGAGAAAGTGACTTTTATGTATAAATGTATTAAAAACCTTTTCACTAAAACGATTACTTATTTTGTCTACCGTACATTTGAGTGTTTTCAAATATATCAGCAATTTTAGCGATTACAATCAGTTATTTTTTCAAAGTGAGTACGTCAACAAAAAAACAATGGTTGACATTTAAACAATCGTTTAATCAATTTTTTAAAATGAGATAGACATATTATCTCATTTTTAAAAATGGATTAAAATAGCATTTAAAATCAACTTGAAGAGCAAGTTAACAAATAAAAAGGGAAAGTATTTAGAAATTATCGACGAAAATAAGATAGAGTCATACCGTATAAAAACACTTTATATCAGTGGTGCTCAAACTTGAACTGCTGGCGATCTACCTCAATATTTTTAGACTACTTACGATCGACTCTGAGAGACTGCAAGTGTGTGTGATGCACGGTTGTCGTACATACACGATACACCCTACCTACCTAGGTAGAGCGTACCGTAGCATATATAGATATTAGCTTTCTGCACAATATAGGTACATTATTTTAGTCAAGGTTTGGGTTAGGTTTAGTTAGGTTCTTCTCTACAATATCAATGAAAAAACTCATAGTTATTCAAAATTGCGAGTTTATTTGTTGTTACAAAACAAAAAAAGTTACATATGGTGTTAAACTTAACTAAGGAGTGGCTTTGGATGTTGAAGCGTGGCACTGCATGTTCTCAGCATACTTTTCATAAGATGGTACGTAACCACTGAGTGCTAATCGCAAGCATGATGTCATATGATCGTCAGTTAGTCGATTGCGATATTTTGACTTAATTATCTTGATTTCAGAAAATGCAGACTCGCACAAGTAAGTTGACCCAAAAAATGCCGTCAGTTGAAGGGCGATTTGCCTTACATTCGGATATTTATCTTCAGATATAAAACGCCAGAAATCTGTATCAGATACTGTAGCTTTGAGATGTATATCTGATATAATCTGCACCAACTCATTTTTAACAGAACATGAGTTCATATTAAACTGACTTGCTATTTCAGTAGCTAATTCTTCAATGTTTTTACATGAAAAAGGATAACTCATAAATGATGCTATATTTTCCAATTTACTGCAATCATAAAAACGCATTTCGAATTGTCCCAAAATATTTGATAATTCAGCCTCATACGTATCATAATTCAACTGAGGAATCCTTGCTTTCAAAGACGGAAAATGTTTCAGATCCTTTCTTTTCAGTTGATCTATCATAAGTTGCAATTTACTTTTGAATGCGTTTACTGCGCTAATCATCTCAATAATAGTTTTTCCTTTACCTTGAAGTTCCAAGTTAACGGTATTTAAGTGCATTGTGATGTCAGTCAAAAATGCCAAATCATTTAGCCATTTCTCGTTTTTTAAAATCTGAGTGTCATCACCTCTTTCGTCTAGGAAAGCTGTTATTTCGGGCAATAATTTTTGAAACCTTCCGAATAAAAATACACAGCTGGGCAGTGTCTGTCATATCGATGGATTCGTCGAACTGTAAAGAAAAGTATGTACATTCCATGATATCATGTATTAGTTTATCTGCGATGTCTTGACTCATGACTTCAATACGCCTTGTAACAGTCGGACGAGATAACTGAAGTTCTCTAATAGAAGACATGATTCCTGTTTTATTTTTAAAATCTCCAAATAAAGTCTCACCCGCTTCAATAAATGCTTTTTTCACCACCGATCCATCTTCAAATGGTTTCTTGTGTTTCGCCAAAATATGAGGCGAATATTTTAAATGACGCGATCGTAGCAGCTTTTGATTGTTTAGCTGGTCTTGTGAACATGGATTGTTCTTTTTTCAAACAAGATATCAAATCACTTACTTTTCGTTTTCTTAATTCACTCTATGGCGGAAAATCCTTTTCATAGTTTTTATGAACCATTTTATGATGCCTCTCTAAGTTACCACGCTTAGGTACTGCAACTGACGCACGACAAATAACACAAATGCACTTATCCTTCACCATAGAAAAGAAAAATTCTTCCTCCCCATCCTTATTAAAATGATACGTTTTAGATTTCTTCACTGCACTCATTTTCCACTATTTAATTATAAACTTTGTATCGACATAGGATCGCTATCAAGTTACAATTCAGAATAACTCCAACATTTATATCGGCGTGAATGAAAGTCTCGAATGTTCTCGTCAAACGCGCCGCCCGAAACTAGACTGTACTGTCTCTCGTCTAGAAACAACACGGCTTTTCTTTGACAAGTGCCGCGCGTTCCTTTGATAAAGCCACCTTTTGCCGCAAGCAGTGTTATTTTATTACGTAATACATTTTTGTAGTTGATAGAATATTATCCCAAATTTAATTAATAATTATAATAAATATTGAATTAATAAAATAATTAGTTAATATATGTAAATATAAAATATGCTGTGTGGATAGTATTTTGTTGTCCCCACTTCTTTGAATTGCAATGATGCTTAGTCAAGCATTCATGTATTTGTGTAGTTCAGTATTAATAAAAACGTTTAACTCTGCTGACAGTAGTTTAGTTACCTACTTACTTATTAAAATTTTTTTTCTTCTCGAGATCTACCCAAAAAGCACTCGCGATCGACCAGTCGACCAGTCGATCGCGATCGACCGTTTGAGCACCCCTGCTTTATATTATATAACTGATGCTAAGAACTAGTAAAATAGTAAATTTGTTTATAAAATAGTCTTATACATAAGTAAATAAAGAATATTATTATTTAAATTGTTAAAAAATTAACAAAAAATTACGTAATCTGTTCAATCACAAATTAATCCCTTAATTTGTAATTTCACATTATTCTTAATTTCTTAATATTTTATAGTTTTACCGTGTATAATTAAAACATTGTGAAAACATATCGTATAATATTTTATTATTATTTTATTATTTATAATTAGTGCATTTACCTACCACTAAATAAATTGCCTAATAATATATTTTTTAATTGAACTTCGTAAGTTTTGCAATTACGACCTAGATTAAATTGTATTGTAAGCTCATAGTTCAAAGTTTGTTAATATGATAGAAGATAACCTTTATTCTGAGGTATGAATTATTTGTGAGATTATAAATTGGGGATTTGAGCTCATGTGAGGGCAGTCTATTATATATAGTTACCTAACTAACATCATACAGTGTAATTAGTAGTAGCTGTCAATAAAACTAAAATTTTCCACAACTTTAACTTTTTATTATATTTATCATCGTCGATCGACAAGAAACGACAAAGAGGCATTATAAAACGATTCGAACCTCAAAACTACGTTCCAATCTTTCCAATATTTAGTTCTTCGTTTGGCGTCACCTCTGGTGATAATGATTTAATAATGATTTAGTATCGTCGCTTTTACCAAATAGGGATCAAAAATAGTCTGCCCATGTTTCCTGAATATTAATTTTTCTGATCATTCTCCATATTTCGTTTTGTGTTTCGTAGAAGTCGTGTTCCATCTCTTAGAAACTCTGCCTGATTTTGCTAACCCGTAATAATGTTCTCCCTGAAATAATACACACGTGGAAATCCGAGCAGAGGCTTAGTTTGTTTCCGGATCATTTTACTTCAGGAGATGCCATTATTATATTATAACTTTTGTTATATTGGAAAAGGTCTTTCCATTCTCGTAAATATACAAAATATCAGAACTGACCATAATTTGTTATTTTGTTTTTTTTTTATATGTTTCATATTTTTTTTTTTTTTTAATTTTCAAATATAAAAACATAGTATGAAGCTTCGCATTAGTCTACAGTACCGCCTATTGTACTACTTTTTTTTTTAACTTTGATAAAATGAAAGGCAGATTTATTAATTACGGAGCACAGTTTTATTAATTAAATCTTGCTTAAGTAATTTCGCTTCCTAGAGCATCTTCAGACCCTTTCTATTTTTCAGTTTCATTAGAGATTCCTTCACTTTGCGTTTTGTATTTTCGGTAATTGTTCCGCCTGTAAAGCCCAGGCGGAATACATCCAGAGTTGATTAGATATGGATCATCAAAACTGCTTGAAATGATCCGAAAATTATTCGAAAGATGCTTAAACGGAGAAGAAGTTCCAGAAAAATGGAGACAATCGTACATCTCTAATACACAAGAAAGGCACAAAAACGGATCCTAAAAACTATAGAGGGATCGCAGTGATTGCTACTATAGGCCGATTATATTCAAAAGTACTGAGAAACCTGATAGAAAATGATATTAAAGATAAACAACCCGAAGAACAAGCGGGATTTAGGGCCGGACGCTCCACTATGGATAATATTTTCACATTAAAAATTGCAATGGAAAAACGAGTGCAGAGAAATAGAGAAACCCATATAGCTTTAATAGACCTGGAAAAAGCATATGATAGTGTTCCGATAACTTGAAAATAAACCCTATTAACGCCACTCAAAAATACTACAAACAAAACTTTGCAAGAATTAAAATGGGACAAGAAATCACCTCTCCTTTTCAAACAACAAAGGGACTGAGACAAGGTCTGTCACCCACCTTATTTAAAATCTATTTGGACACATCCTTAGTGAAATGGGTAAAAAAATGTAGAAACATGGGAATGACGGTGGAAGAAAACACGTTATAAACACTTTTCTTTGTTTGCGGATGACCAGGTAGTAATTGCCGAAGATAGCTACGATCTTAGCTATATGGTCAGAGAACTGCAAGAGGAATATGAGGTGGCAGGTCTAAACATGAATATGACAAAATGTGAATATCTATCAGTGGGAACAGATGAAATATGTGACCTAGTCTTGGAAGACGACAAAATCAAAGGCGTACAATCCTGCAAATATTTGCAGGTCATTTTCAATAAGAAGGGAAATAGCGCAGATAAAATCAGGAAAAGAATAAACAAGGGTAGAGCAGCGATTCGTGCCTTAAACTCTCTTCTCTGGCAAAAAACAATTCGACGAGAAACCAAAAAACACATTTACGGTAGTATAGTCCAAAGTATTACACTTTACGGTTCGGAAGTATGGGACGTCACCAAAGCTAATAAAAACAAACTTATGACGACAGAAATGGAT